TTTTCTCATCCCGGCTCGAACGTCTCGTTTTGATTAATTGGCGCATTTTGTCGGAGCTCGTCCGCGTGCTTCTTTTTTTTTTTTTACCTCTCCGTACCGTTTGAGCGAGTGGGTTCTTGAGTAATCGCGGATATTGCTTTTTCAGGTAGGCGCGACGTCGTAGCTTGTCGCGCACTTTATTGGGGAAAATTAATTCGCCAACTACGAGTTGGCACTGGGCGATAATAACTTGCATGAAAAGCCGTTTTTCCTCTGGCTTCGCGCGTGATATTTTATACGCTATTCGTTGGCCGATGGATTTGATACTTCTCGCTAAAGGCATTTCTCGAAATCCAACGAGTGCTTGAATAGCACCAATAGCCCTTTCATAAATTTTATTTTATTAATAGAATTCGGCTGTTGCATGCCGAGACAGCTAATAGGTATTTCTGGCATTAAGGAACGCTTGGCCAGTATGATTCATTGAATTGAGGAGAGGACGGGATTGAATCATCGTGCTCTCGAGTATTATAAAATCGATTCATTTATGACGAGAGGATTATTTGAGCGATTGAGGTACTGTATATATTGCTTTTATCTGGGTACCAATTTGTTTACCGACCAAATTTGGCTGTTATCGATGCAACTGCAACCAATGCTCTGGGTGTTTGGATAACAAACAACTTTTCATAAAGATATTTCAATTTTCTTCGTAAAATTGCGCAAACTGATGATCGATTTCACCATCGACCAAATCGCCCAGATCGTTTGATAGTGAAAACATGGTGATACCTTAGCCGTGAGTGGCGTGTTGTTATTGAAAAATCAGCTCGCCACTGGCTGGAAACTTCCAGTAGGTGTCAATTGAGAAACCGATATGAAGGCGCTATGTTTTTTTTGTGTTTCAAACACTCGAACGAGATGCCGCGACGATGAATCCGAAAAATAAACCAGAACAAACGATAAGGGCTCTATCTCGGTAATAAAAAGAAGAAACGTGTCAGGAATATCCGATGTGTATCGCTGTACGTTCGCGAGAATATCAATTGAGAAGTGACTATTCATCGTGCCAATTGTTGCGATGTCCGTTTTGGATGGGTCTTGGATTTTTGTTTTTCTTTTGGGAGCTAGCAACGTTCCTTGCGTATCCAGATTCGTCGGCTTGTTACAATCGTCACAAATTATTACCGAGAAAAATTAATCTTTAAACAAATCAAAAATCACTAACGTCATTACGGATCGCCTATTACAAGTGTCACTACTTGCGAGAAATGCAAAAGCCGTTATACCTCTTGCATCCCTGTAAAAAAAAAGAAGCGAAGCGCAAAGAAAGTACGTCACGATAAAAAATAAATTGCGAACTCCGAATTATAAAAAACAATGAAGAAATGGGCCAATTTAGAAAAATCGAACAAACCTTTCCTTCTGTGAAAACTAGGAAAACCACACGCGCATGAAATTGAAAAACTAACGAAAGCGCGCAGACAGCAGCAAACGATGCTCGCCACTCTGCAGTAAACACCGGACTGGTGGCTGGCAACTGTTGGCGGGTACGTTAAAGCCGCCGCCGCCGCCGCCGCCGTCGCTGCCGCCGATCCATCAACAAGCCTCGCTCACAACGTCGGCTAACCAGTCGGCCGGAAATCGGCGTAAATTCGTCTCGTTACTTGCCTCTCTTTCGCGCCTGTGAAAAGGTGAGCGTCCTGCTGATGCGATGCCTACGAAGCATGAGACAATGATGCACCTGATTTTCAATGCTTTCTTCTCGCGCTAATTTTCAGCGCTTCTCTATTTGATATTTGATTTAATGGAGCCGCGGCGTGGAAAGAGTATTGTTACGGAGACGTGACGACGAGTTTGTTGACTTTGTAGGCTATATTGCTCAGATGTATGCGCTTACACCGGATAATTCGACTATTGTTCTATGTTGTATTTTATTTTATGAAAAGTGCGCTTACGGTCCATCAAGTGTGCGCGAATAGTAACGGTCAACGGAGACATTCTTGACTGATGAGAATTACAAGATACGTGTTTTAGTTTTTCTTATTTTTTTTCAGCTATTAAGTATCGTTGCCTTTTAAATTGTCTTGGATTTGTACAGTTAATTTACTTTAGTACAATATGTCACTGATAAGTCACTAAATGTTAATGTCCTTTGGCATTGTGGTAAACAAATGGTGTTCTATTTACAATGTATTTATGAGTATTCGCGTGATTACTAATTGAGATAAAATGATCGTTATAATAATTTTGCCGCCAGAGAATTTTATCTTCGAATAGTATTCTACGCCAATAAAGTATTTTTCAATTAAATAACAGCTTCAACGGCTGTAATCAACTAAGAGTCATGTAGAATTAATATTTGAAATCATTACATTTCATACAATTATTCTGAAATTATTATTTATGGACTACGCCACACTCATCTAAGTAGGCTCAGTAATTGGCATAAATTTTTTCGTATAAAGGCAATAGAGGGACAATGATCACTCAGTACTTGCTTGGAAGGCAATCCCAAATTGTCGATATAATGTTTTCCCGTAAATTTTATTGAACTTGTACAGTTTCATTTAAACATACAGCACTTGCTTTTTTCTTTTTATATGAATTATAATTAACAAAAAATTAATTTCACTCGAATTTCATAGCACATATGTTCCTTTAGCAACGCACTTGAGAATTTAATTAAACGATCCATCAACGTTTATTTTTAAATAACATTGCATTGCGAGATTCAGCCAAGCAATCGCGACAGAAAGGTATGGAAAATAGTTCGTTGCAGGGAGAAGGCGGGGAAAAGCACGTTGTTCTTACGGACAAATGTGCCGAAAAGCAGAGTTGAGAGATGGTGCAGATGCCTATTGCGAGCCGAGGTGAAATGTGAAACGCGCCTAAACCGAAAAAATCTGCACAAAGAAACACCTTTCCACCTCGGGCTCTACTGGCGCGTTTATACTCTTTAGCTCTCCCACACACGCGTCCTCACGAATGTATTTTTTTCATTTCTCTCCCCCCTCCTCTTCTCTCGCTCGCTGGTCTCTCCCCTTTCTTTCAAGCCGTTCTCGTTCGTTGCAACTACGCGCCTTGTTTCTTTGTTTCTCAACACTTCTATTTTATTTTTTCCGAAAACGTCGTTGCTCCAGCCTTCGTTTCCGGCAAAATAGTCAAAAGACCACGTTAATGTTTAAGCCCGAGATAGTTTGAGTCGCGAAGAAAAAAAAAAAATTTCTAGCGCTACCGTAAAGCAAAGGCAATTTTTCGCGCGTATATCACGTTGTAAACGAGTCGGGAAGCGCTCTCGAGCTTTTCACGTTTTCCTTTTCACCCACGGAATTGTCAATAGCTCGCTCCTCCCTCGTTGCCCTCTTTCCATTTCCCTCTTTGCCTTAATAGCCCTCTCTTGCTCTCGGTTCTCTCGTTTTCTATCCTCCCTTCGAGCCTTTTCTCTCATTCCCGGGGTCTCCTGTTTCATCCATCTGCGTCTTCGAGCGCTGTCGCGATGCTGAAACCTGCTGCCGATGCACGCGCGTACATCGCGAGGCGCAACGTTGTAACCGACACGCACGGTATAATCCCAAAAATGGAAATTGCATGTTTTTGAGGAGGAATTTCAGATAAAAGCTTCGGCCGATCTGCCGATCTTCCATTTTTACGAAAGCAGCTCGGGCACTTATCGTCGTGTTTTTTTTGTTGCGAGCTTCATTTATCGCGCCCATTTAATTTCGCTGAACTCTGAGTTGACTTGAAAGACTTGTCGATCGGAAAGGTTGCGATTCGCTGGGTGAGAAAGACTGGAGCGCGACGATCTTTCTATGAGTCCAGAGCCACTGAAACGTAAGCCGAGACGGACGAAGGACTGACTGCATAGGTTGGCCGAAAGATGTTTCAGGTGAAAGGACTGTGCGTCCGACGGGCATCCCGGCGGGCGATATTCCAAGAATTTCCGATGATGCATCGAGCCGCGAAGGCCCTGCGACGCGAAGAAGCCAGCGAGCGCCGAGGCAATTGAGTTTCGGAACGACGAGGCTGATTGCAATCGATGCTCCGCGCTTTACAGCGCAATCACTGCAGGTCAAGGGACTCCGCCGCTCGCAAAGAGGATGATGGCATTTTCGACGCTTCAATTGGCAGACTTGATGAGTCGATAAAACGATCGTGACGGCGAAGGCTGCTGGCCTTATGCACCTCGACAGCTCTCTTGCCGTGTATACACACTTAGCTTTTGTAATATCTGTTACGCGGACTGCAATAACCTAGACAGAGATTGCCAAGAGGATGGCACTCTAATTGTTTTCGGTTCGTCGATTAACATCGGTAAATCGGTTTCCGCTGCGACCAATACACCTACCATACTGTAGGGCTCGATTTCTCGCGTCTGTTTATCTTTGTGACTCCGTTGCCAAGTTCGCTTTTTCAGTTGACGGACGCGCTGCGCAACTTTAGCTCTCGTAAAGAGTAAGTCATTTTCCCAGTGAAATTAATGGCGTCATTTTCATCCGTCGGACGACAGACAAATCAAACGTCCAATGTTTAATGCCGTCATTTACGAACTGCTTATGCACAAAAGAACCGTAAGTTATTATTGACTTTTTTACTTTCACAAAAAGATCGTAACGAAACCATTACTCCTCGAAACGTAATCTGCGCACGAATTCCTGCATATAAATTAAGCGGCGAACAATACGGCATGCCAGTTAAAACGTTTGCCCAACCGACAACAACAACAACAACAACAAGTCTTTTCAGAGTTCACTCAGCGTCAGCCACATGACACAAAAGTAATAGCCTCGTACCTAGAATAAATTAAACGAGCACAGAAGCTCGCCTCGCGTGTGGTGCGCGTGCGCGCAGCAGCAGGTTCAACGAACACCTGTTTACCAAGTCGCGCGAGGTCTTATCATCTGTTCCTCCTCTTGCCAACACCCCCTCCCCCTCTTCTCTCGCGCCGTACACGCGCTGCACTCCAAATATCGTCCTGGTGGTCTCTTTGCGAGAACTCTTGCGCGCGCAAACGGACTTACCTGATGGTTTTCAGCGCCGTTGTTGCGCTGCCGGTCGTCGACAACGGGTTCAGTGCTCGTTGCCTCGCGAGTCGAGCTAGTTGAGCGACGCGTCGCCGCCGGCGAGCCGTTCCTTTGCTGCTGGCGTTGCTGCTGTCGCTGGCGCTGCTTCCTGCTGACGATCGTAAGAAAAAACGATTATACGAGGTCCGATCGGCGACGCGCAACACTGCGCTTTTTCGTCGCCGACGCTAATGACGCGTATTTATGAGGACTCTGCGGGACTTGCGAGTTGTTTGATCGAGACTTTTTGTGGCTCGCTAATGGTCGGTCAGCTGTACGTTAGGCCTGACTGGGAGCTGCGAGATCGTTGGACTTTCAATTGCTCAATCGGGGAGTGCATTGTAAGGGATACTAATTGATCGTAAAAACAAAATGCTACTCGTTTAGACTGGCATCTCAAGTTTTGTTGGTACTCGGCTACTCCCAAGACCAAAGATAAAAAATTCCTCGTCAATGAGTGAAGCAAGAGTAATTTGCCATGGACATAGGTATCTCAAAGTCGTGACAAAAGAAAAATTTAGAAAAGCAGAAGGTTAAAGAAGGTGTGTAACTGACTCGAAGAATTCCGGGTCACTGAAGCACTTCTCCAGACTGGCGATTCTCCGGAGGCTGGTAGGCGTGCTTGGCGTCGATCGTGACGGGCTCGACGTGCCATTGCTTTTGTCTTGGTGTTTGGCTGGCTCTTCGTCGCAACTCGGCCGACGAAGCTTTGCAAGCACCGACGGTGACGTGCTCCCGTTGGCTAGTACACGAGTCTCGCCTACGTCGCACATATTGCAACGCGCCGCTCCGATAACTTTTCCACTTCTGTTGGCGCAAGTAACTGCATTAAATATTTAATTACTGGTCCTCCACGCAATTCGCTTTCAACATTCATCGCTGGTAATATGAGAAGTCAGTTAATCAAACAAGCTTACTAATGGGTTTTTCTTTAAGAAAGTAAGCCTGGAATGGATGAAAGAGAAAATGTTCAGCCACTTAATGTATGTAAAAATCAAAATTTTTATAATATTCTTTCAGCTAAAAATTTCCAACTAAATTTAAGAAAGTCTATTGAGTATTTCGTTGAGTATTTCGTTCTTAGTGGATTTTTAATGCATAATAAGAACAACTGAAAATTCCGTTCAGAGTCTGTATTGTGCATGATTGCTTGGTGCAATCAGAATGGCTGAGGATAACTAACCTGTTATTTCACGAAGCTTGAATGTCGTTGAAACTTTACTGCAACTTTTTATCTGATAAAAGAACTATTGTACGCAAAGAAAAATCGGTTCTCATTTCACCTAGTGGGGGAATGTCGAACGAATCCCAGAAATTTTTCGGAAAACTTTATTGTTCATTTGTTCTATCGATGTTATTCGATTTCATAATTTATTGTTTATTTACGTTCTTTTGATCCGGCAATTGACTAGTTACTAATTACTGAGCGACTGATATTATTAATAATAACTTTGTAAAGTTTACTACTAGACTAAGGCAAAGTATTTTTAAATTGTAAATGAGACATTGCATTTTAACGTAAACAAGAAAAGCTTCAATTAGCATGCGATTCAATTTCCGCGCAACTGTAAGCAGCGACAAAAGGCTTTCACAAAGCTTGATTTTTGAAAAGCACAAGCTTTTGACAGTGAAATTGAGTAGAAGGTTCGGGGATCAAACGACAAAATCCATGAATAAAAGTGCCTAGGTAAAAAGTGTGCCACGTCAATTTGGGCCAATCTCGCTTCCTCCTGCTCATCCCCAACACAAGTCTCTGGACGAGACTGCAGGCGGGCACGCGATTCCACATTGAAATTCGTCAGGGCGCGAAATTGACTCGCGCGAAAGGAACACATTGGCCGGCTGTGAGAATCGGGTGAATGGGCCGGGCTCCCAGACGCAGTTATTGACCGGCCTTTCGTCCTTGTCGTCGCTGCCGCTGCAGACGATTTTCTCTCTTACACCTGCGCGACTCTCGTACGCCCTCTTCGAACGCACATGCAAGTCCTTCTCGCCTCGCTGACGCGTCTCTTGCGCTACAATAACATTAGCAGTCGGGTTGTGCCTCTTGGGAATTCATTAATTTTCAATTGCTGAATTGCTTCCGTCCGATTCTGCGGATTATTCAATGATGCTGCCGCGACAGCTACTCTCTTTCCGGAATGGATTCGCGTACATTCGGCCGAGCAATTTTCGAAATTGCTTTGGACTCGTCGTCAATCTTTCGTTGCGCGTAACTGATCTCTTGCGAATGACCGACGGAAATTGACTTTGAAGACTGAATGAAACAGCTGTATCGATCCTATTTGCAAGAAATAGCGAAATAAGTTTTCAAGGAGCCGAGAAAAGCAGTTTTAAAAATGAAAGCACTCCATTGCAAGACAAAGTCTGACCGATCACTCGACGCAAAACTTCACTTTCATTCGACGAAAATTGCCAAGAACGCTGGCAATTCGGCATTCTGCATATTTACAGTTCGTTCGTAAAAGTGAATAAGGCTCGGATCCGGGTGGGTCGACAAAAGGAGAAAGACAGAGAGAGGGAAAGAAAAAAGAAGAAAAGGATCGCCGGGAAGGCGACGCGCTCTATTAACTTTACGCCTGAGTCGCCCACCCTCGCGCTTACTCGTCCTTGGACTACGAGGCTATAAATAAAAAAAACACGGGCGAAGGCGAAGTTTATTCGTCTTGCCGCAATCATTCGTGTTCGCTCGCAACGCTTATTAATTAATGGAAATTTCAAGCTCGTCGCGGCGGTTATTAATTACGGTGATGAGCCGTCGCCGTTGTAGTCGTCGACGTTGATCGTTGATCACATTTACGCCGAGATTAGTTTCTTTTCCGAGCCCACTAAATTGGGTTGCTTTCCAAGATTAATTTCGAAAATAATATCGCAGTACACCTTGGCGGCAAAATACAAAAATGGCCCGCCAATTAATCGCGACACTGCGAGCGACGAAGCATCTCGAGTTGCTTATGTAACGATAGGACGAGACCCACTTTGTCTTATCCGAGAAGAGTTCATGTAACGTCCAGGGGTGTTGCACGTCGCGTTCCTTTGCAAATAATCAATAACCGTGATCTTCCATTAACCCAATTTTCGAACTAGGCTCGCGCCATAGATAAGCTCCCTGGCTGGCAAAATTGCACCTATTAATTAGAATGTCAATAAGAGATTGTTCCAAAGGGGCAGACTCAAATTATCGACTTGTCGTCGGTGGAGAACTTGCTTTTCATTCATGAACTTCGCTGCGGGTGATACACAATAGTTAACAAAGAACAGAGAAAAGCAGAGCGCATCACGTGCAACGAACCCTCGCTCGTAATCAATACGGAAGAGAAAAAGAAAACACTGCTCGCGACAAAACCGCGCAGCTTATTCTCACTTTGGCCTACTCGAAAAAATCCAATTTCACGAATTCCCTACAATGGGGTCGTCCTTTTTTATAGACTTTAATTATATCGCTCTGACCTTTAATATGCGAGCTTCTACGTGAAAGTTCTATATTTATCGTCATTTGTCATATTAAGTGATAAACTTTTTTTGCGTTATCATCTCGTTTGAAAATAGGGTCACTACATCACTCCCGAACGTCTAGTCCATCTATAGTTTTTATTAAAAAAAAAAACAGCTAAATATTTACTACTAACCAAAAACTTTATACTTTATAAACTGTAATCGAACATTTGTTGACCCCTCGAGTTTGATTTTTGAAACTTACCCAAAACAAAAGGTCTTCTTCAAGTCCTAGGAGGAACGTCGCGCATCCTCGCTGCACAGCAGTCTCGCAAAGTCCACGAAATTGTAGAGAATGAGAAAAAGAAAAACAAAGTCACAACGAGATTGAGATGCGCGTCATCGAGGCCAGCGAGCGAGGAAGGCCGTCGGTTAAAGCAGTGGCAGCAGCACAAGGCCGTATAAGGTTATGGAAGCGCTGCGGTGTGCGCCGCCTGCGCACCCTCCTACTGACTGGCGCACTCGCGCTCTCTTTGCATGGCGTCGCGCCACCCGACCACCCCCCCCCCCCCATACACATCACGTCTCCGCGTGCGTGTGTGCGTGCATCTGCTGCTGTTCTCTGTGTGTACGCTCCCCTTTTCGCCACCGCCGCCGCTCGCTACGTTTTAACCCTCCCCACCGATTCTCTCTAGTACCATCAAATACACGCACGCTCACCATGGCTGTATTGTCACAGACTTAGTCATATACGCGTATGTACGCTTGACGCGGGATTAAAGCGAGAACGAGGCGATGTTTTGCTCTCTGCGACGAAAACAATACATTGAGGATATTTTTGTGACCAGACTGTCTTGCTCTTACTGTAACTCCTTAGTAGGCACAGCTTCTATGATATGTACGTTTTTTGAAAGTTTTCTTGGGGGGGGGGGGATTCTGAATTATTTTTTTTTTCATAAAATTTTGAATTGAAAATAAAAATTTTAGAGGGAACTGGCAGTTAACAATATTTTTAAAGTTTATTTATATTTCATATGCGTGAATAATTTCATTCGTGTCCATGCTTCTCATATTTTAACGTATTAGCTTCCATCCGTAATGTTTTAAATGAAAGTTACCGAGAAAGAGATATTTAGAAAATTAAAGGAAGGGCCATTGCATTTTCATTGCATAAAGCTATACTGCTACTCAAAATCGAATATAATAATATTAGACTGTACTTTTTGAACATTAGAATTGAAATTGAACAGTTTAAATTTAAACGAGGAAATTACAGTCAACGATTCTCATTGTGGACTCTTAAAAGTCAAGTAAATATCCGAGCAAGCACTACCCTAAAAGCTTAGGTCGTAAAGAAAAATAGCCTCTTTCGGGTACTCTGTCTTATTTACCGGGTACCGTCTCAGTCATATTCAGCGGGGCGTCCCCTGAAAATGCTACCCCCTCCGTTGTCATTATGCATGTGCGTATGTATGTGCGCTGAGAAGTTGAGTATGTGTTTAATGCAGACCGGTCAAAGCTGCCCTCGTTGTTAGTCTAATGTTATGGCTGGACTAAGCTTAACAGAAACTCTCTTTGCAGCTGTGGACGAGACACGCTGTGTGTTTGGTAAATATCACTTTCGATGCTCTATGCCGCGATATTTTTTACCTTTACCAAACCTGTACAGTCGTTTCCAGATGGCACGGAATAAATCCTACTCGATTGTCTTAATTAATGTTTAGTTTTTTAATATCAACGTATTGAACGATTGGTTGAATAAAACTTGAAAAAGTAGTTAGATCATGTTACCTTTCATTTCTTGATCTATTTAATAGAATGATGGACTTTCAGTTGCGCTCTGATATCAATAATATTTATTCTGCACTCATTATACGTGAGTTATAGAGACTAACAAATAATCGAGTTTTCATATAAAAGTAAGTTCATTCATATGTTTAAGCAAGTTAATTTCATATATAAAGAAATTTGTTAATTGTTACAATAAACAAAACCTTTTATTTACCATAGTTATAGACTTTCATGAGGCTATTTATATATTGACGGAACGCAAACTTAACCACATGCAGTACACCATGTAGATGCAGATGTATGCACCGGATTTACGGACTTACAAGGATGATATGATCGTTACATCAAATGCATTATATGACATATTAAAAATCAAACAATATTGAATAGTATAAAAATAAATGTGCTATAAAAAATATAAATGCCGTTAATATTTGTTGTCGATCATAGCGTGGTTTTTAATAATAGACTTGGCGTAGATAAGTTTGGAGAATCTACAAAAATAATAAACGATTTGATGATCACCTTGTTTTAAATAGCATATTTACAATCATGACTAAGCGCATAAAGTTTGCAATTCGCGATAGCTGTAAATGTCATGTGGAGAAGAGATAATAGATACAGATGTAGAAAATTTCTTGTTAACGAATCTTGATGTGTGAACATCTTGCGATAATTGTACGACGGTAATTTTATAATATTCTAGTTGCACAAACAAAGCTTTCATTTGGTCTCTTATGCACTGATTAAAATACTGGCACTCGAGTTTGTGATGTCCTTCAGCTTCGAGTGCAAGCGGGTGTCATCCAGAGCGGAAAAGTGTAAGTGATGGCGGCGTGTTTCTGAGCACACGCTGACATGAATATTTATTGCATTCGTATGGCTGACGCAGATAGGGCTCTGATAGGCTCATCTCATTCAAGGAAATGCGAACTTCAAGCCTTTTGATTTAGCTGACAGCTCCATTCTTCGTACTGTTTCAAATACGCCTATATCGACGGTATTCGAAAAGTGAATTCGTATATTCTTGTTTATTGAATAACGAGAAATGAACAGTGCCTGTGAAGATATTCAGATCGCTTAGAAAACTTTTCTTGTATAACATAATATATATGATGTCTAGCGCGCTTCCATATTTTTCGTCCTTTCCTCGCATTCATTTTGATGCACGAATATCGATCAAAACTTTTATTGGTGATATTGAAAATTCAACAATTTAATATGCATTAAACATTGCGATAATTTCATATGAGATATAGTCAACTATATCATTTATTTTATTATCTATAAATTTTTACGCTTTTATCATTCATAATTTTATCCTGAAAAATCACGACAAAATTTCAAAAACACGATAAAAAATGTAATATAAGTTTTAACAACATTATTGTTTTCTATAATCATATCACGATGTAAATAACTGATTTTTGGATGACGTTTACGATTATAATTAGCGCATTCTCAAAACAATTCTCTAATATTGTATAAATAAATAAAGCATAAATCACTGTACACTATTTTATTATCCAATAATTTATATCTTTTATTGTGTACTCTGTTTATTCGAAGCTAAGCTTACGCACAAAGCAAAGTTCAATTAACTTCTCTGTCGAGGTATCAGTCGGTTTTTATTTTACGGTTAATATGATTTATCCCTATTAAATTCACGCTAACTAACTGATACGCTTTTGGAACGTTTAATCGTCTAAAAAAATCTGCATTAATTTTTCATGAGCGTTCGCAATACATATATACTATCCATAACAGCTGATCAGGTGATTAATCAGTCAATCTGTTTAATTTAGTCGATAAATTATAAAATGAATCGATGAATGAACTGCATATAAATTCCACAATAAAATTAATTTCAGATGAAAAAATTGAATACTCACGTAAGCATAGATTAGATAATAGTATAGATTGAGTATGGGTGCGTATATGATATAATGAATAGATTGATGTTCGATTAATATTATTCTCTTTAATGAAAATAAATCATATAATACTGCATTTAGCATACAGAAGAATCTGAGTCAAAAGTGGGAGAAAGGCCCTTCAAATACAAAGAATATATTGCAGGTAGTCGTTAATTACGTTTACACTCAAACACAAGTGAACGAATAAATCGAAATAAATAAAGACAAAAACACGTAGAAATATTTCTATGCTGACAATTATAAGATTGATTGGATTCGATTTAACGTCCATAAATCGCAGAGTTGAACTCTGTAATGATGTTCGCTTTCCAATACGACGCGCAACTTATCGATAAGGAGAATGTTCCAGAATTTGAGAACTCAGCCCCGACGTCTCGGAAACGGGAATAGCCCTCGATACGTCTCTATCGATGCAAGATAGGTAAAGCCGCAGGGTTTGAAGGCACTCTAAAGGTCGTAGCGCATCCTCAGCTAAAACAGGGATAGTCCGGCCTTTGCCCTTTAAAATGCGTCGCTGGTTCACTTTCAAGAAATTGATGACAAGACGAAGTTTGAGACAGAGGGAAAGAGAGAGAGAGAGAGAGAGAAAGTGTACTCACGAAGAGCAACTGTTCTCGGCGAATTTCTGCAAGGAAATGAGCTCAATGTACGCCATACTTCGGCAAAAAGAAAAGGGATGGAAATATGAAAAACTGCTCCTTCTCTTTGGACTCCTTGCAGGTAACCAATCAGGAGCATGGAAGGCACTTGCATACCCCACGAGGACCCATCTCTTTTACTATACAAGGGCGTTAAGCGTTGGTACTGTCTTTTTTCTTGACGACACGACGCGTCAAACAGCGCGGCGAACTGTTTTTTTTTTAGGAATTTCCTCATTGCCGAAGTAAAACTATGAAGGAGGTGTAAAACTAGAAGAAAAAGAACGAAAAACAAATCGTTCATTGACAATCTTTGTATTTATGAAAGAAAGCTGTCAGCAACGTCCGCCTACAATGTAATATTTCATTACTCTATGCGAACGTAGTATATTGGTCGATTTATCGAAACGATAATCTCTCTTTCTCTCTTCAATTTTTATAATGCATGTTCTTGTTCTTTCTTCAACACATTATACAAACTCAATAAAGCGTAATTGACACGAGCACATCATATCACGAATAAACTACCTTTACCTTCCACGCTACCATTTTTTTTAGGGAAGAACAAAAAGAGAATACGTTCTGAATTCCATTCAGCCAAAAGAGTTGCAAGCAAGGAGAAAAAATAAAAAAAATGAACTTGCGTCTTCTTGAAAACTCATCAGGCAAAAATCCCTGCAATTTAACGTTTAATTCGGTCATCCATCTCAGCGAAACGTAAAAATACATCTCGCGCTGGAATTCAAAGCACTAGGCAGCGAAATAAAAAGATCGCAGCCATTGTCTGGTTCTATCCTGGAATAAACGAGAGCTCATGTTAACGCAGTTGATATTTTCTCAAGCTCTCGCACTTTGCGTCTTTCTCTTTTATTTTTCAAACCAACTCGGCACGGAAAAAGTAGTCAACGAGAGAAAAAGACAGCGTCGCGCCACCTTCGTCCCAGCGAGAAATTCTAGAGCCAATCACTTCGGCGGTAAACTCTGGACTACATCAAAACTGAAGAAAAGCCACGATTGTTTAGGGTGGGCACAGTGTATAGAAAGATGAAATCTTCGGAGGAAGAGATTTGATAGGTGTGCCAGGATGCATTGTACTTGTGTGAACGTGTGACGAGACGATACTGAGACGACGTTCAAAAAGTTTTCG